GGAAGTGCAAAAAGCCGAGCGCCCCCCCCTCCCCCTGCCCAAAATGAGCCCCCTAAACGCACACTGCCTGCCCATGGCCCGTGTGAGACTTCATTGCTGCTGCTTCCAGGCAACGCTGCCGGCAGTGCTTTCCCCAGGAGCCTCCGGCTGTCACACTTGCATGCACAGCCCGGCATCCCTGCAGGGCCCCCAACGGGGGCTCTTCTGAGTGGGGCTGGTAATCTTCATCCTCTGCACGCTCCTTCATCAGGTGAGGCGTCACAGTGCGAGTCCCTGCATAGTGTGCACCAAACCATGGTGTGCGTCCCAGGATGGTTTGTTCCCCACCATGGTGCGCACCAAACCATGGTGTGCGTCCCAGGATGGTGTGTTCCCCACCATGGTGCGCACCAAACCATGATGTGTGTTCCAGGATTGTGTGCATCCTATCATGCTGTGTGTTCCAGGATGGTGTTGCAGCCCACTACAGTGTGCATCCTACCATGGTGTGCATCCCAGCATGCTGTGCATCCTACCACAGTGTACAACCCAGCAGGGTGTGCTCTCCATCATGGTCCTCATCCCAGCATGATGTGCAACCACCATGGCATTCACCACAACCATGGTGTGCATCCATGCATAGTGTGCACCCTGCCACAGCATGCATCCCTGCATGATGCACATCCCAGTAGAGTGTGCACTCTACCATGGTGCAGATGGCATTGAGCTCCTACATTGGGATCAACCCAAAACACATGGGTATGAGACCAACCGCTTTGGGGCTGGCAGGATGATAGCACCACAGGGCACAGCTAGTCCACAGCCCCTGTAGCCCCAGGAGTACATCTTGCTTTGCACATCCCCACTTCTGTGCTGCTCCTTAAGCAGCATGCCTTCAGCAGTGATGAACAAATATCACAAACCACTGGCAGTCTCCAGGTCTAGCCAATGGATCACTCCAATCCTCCACCCTCCTAAAAGCTGCTGTACCCCAAAGCCATGTCTACCCGCCCCTGCCCATGTGTGCTGTGCAGCTAGCTGTGCTCTCTCCCCAAAGTGCAAAAAAAGACCCCGGAAGAAAAAATCTGCCAGAAGCTTCATTTTCCAAACAAGACTTTATTGACAAGGCAATTCACTGGGGCTTGACCCAAAACAGAGCAGCCAGCGGGAAAACCCAACTCACGCTCAAGCAACAGCCAAGGAAGGGGCCCATCTGCCCAGTGGACAGCGCTGGGGAAGGAGAGGGCTCAGAGGAGCCCAGTGCCACTCTCCAAGGCTGGCAGGGACGCAGGAGACAGGGAGGGAGGCCAACGCAGCAGGACGCTTGCCTCTGGCCACACACCCCCAGGAGTTGGTTCTCCTCGAGGCTGTTTGGGCAGGCAAACCGTCTCCTTGCTGCGGCCAGCAGGCTCTGGCCTTTAGCCAAGTCCCACCGTCCACATTACACTGCAGCTCCCAGACCTGCTCCACAAGGCACCACGGTCCCCAGGAGGCACCAACACAAGCAGTTAATAACAACCAAACCCTCTGAAGGCAATTCAGCTGTCTCCTGCTAAAGGAAGAGGGGATGGGAGCACCATCAAAGGCACTTAGACAAACATGGAGATTACAAGAGCTTTAAAAACATCCTCGAGTGTTTCACACCTCTCTTATTTGCTGATTTTCCCTGCTTGGCACTTTATCCCTTTAAAACTAAAACAGAAAACCTGCAAGAAGGCACGACTCAGAGCAGCTATTCTCAGGTGCAAAAATTGAGTCCAAGGCTAAGGCAGAGGCTGAGGCTGTTCCCAGACTCATGGAGGAGGTGGGGGCACCAGAATAGCTCATGGTCACAAGGCTTCAGCCGCTCGGGCCCCAACAGAGGGATCCCCAAGGCCACCTCAGCTGAAGTCTCGGTCGGGCAGTACAAGGGGAGCCACCAGCGTCCAGAGGTAGAGCAGGAGCCCAGCCCAGCTGGAGGAAATCTTCACCCAAACAGCAGTCCAGGGGCTTGTCATCATCTGCAAGCTCTCATCAGGCCTGAAACACCAAACGAGTGGGCGGCATGGGTCACTGCACCGCGCTGGCAGGGACAGCAGCCCCCAGCCAGCCACGCATCAAGATAAAACAGAAGGAAGTAAATTCCTAAATATACCTGGTAAGGCAGCAGCCTAAGTTCCTGGGCCTGCCCTTCCCAAGGGGTGCAGTGTCTTAAAGCCAGACCCATAACTAAATGCTGATATCTGCCCCAGAGAACAGCCCCGGCTCTGGGAAGAGCTGGACCCAGCAAGGACAGCAAGAACAGGAGAGACTGGAGGGGCAGGAGCTGGCAGGTCTCCACGCCTGGAGCTACACAGCTCCCCTGCGGCTCCTCAGCCAGATCCTGCAGGGATGCCACCCTGCTCTCCCCACCCACCGCCAGTTGGCGGGCACCTGGGTTCGGCAGATGATGCCTCGGCAGGGACCTGGCGCGCGACATGGCTCTTGCAGCCCAGCATCCGTTCCCCTGACAGCACCACTTGCTGCAGCCAAGCCGCCTGCCAGCCTGGACCCTGCCCAGATGTCCCTGGCGAGCGTGACCACACTGCCAGGGTGCTGCGCTGGGAGCAGGGCTGCTTGGAAGCTCCAGGAAGGCGTCAGGCATGTCATGAGCTCTACAGACTCTGCCGGGGCAGCAGAGAGGTGGGATGGAAGGAGCCAAACTTGGGCAGCACCTGGCCAGGTAGGCAACCACCTTCCTTACGCGGAAGTAGCCTCGCTTGTACCTTAGAGCCAATGGTCTAAATTTATAGGGCAAGGGCATTAAATGAAACAGGTAGCAGCCACATCTCCCTGTGCCTCCCGCTCTCACAGGCTCAGTGGCATATTTAATGCTCTGGCTGCATCTGCAGGTGTCTCTCCAAGCATTAAGAACAACAACGCTACCTGAAAATAATTAAAGCTCGCTGGGGCGCGAGCTAAGTTTGCTCACCCACGTACCCATCTGAGCAAACAGCCGTGTCCAGCCCAGCCAGCGAGTGCAAGAAGGCCAGATCCATCCCCACCCCAAGCAGGAGCAGGGATAACCCCAGCAGAGGCGGAGAATCCCCAACCCCAGCAGAGGCGGAGAATCCCCTCTGGGACACTGATGGGACATTTCTGCACTGGTCCAAGCCGTGGGCGCTGCCTGGCGCGCGCACGGTGGCTGCATGGTGCCCACCTGTACCAGTTGGTGAGCGTCATCATGATGTAGAGGGAAGCCAGGACGAGGCAGAGGTGGAAGAAGGTGTAGTTGTAGGACACACCGTCCTGCTCGTTGTCGTAGGCGCGGTGTGGTCCGCTCTCCAACGCAGCATCCCCGCGACCTGCGCCGGCTGTGCTCTCCTCCGTCAGCATCAACTTGTTGACCTGGGCATGGTCTGAGGAGCGGATGCTAAGGGCAGACAAGATGGCAGGTTCAGGGCCAGCGGGCATGCAAGCTCCCTGCTCCCTCCTGGGCCACCTCTGGGCGAAAGCTGCTCTCGGAGCCTGACTTCAGCCCTCAATTCCCTCTGAGCAGCCCGGCTGCTTCCCGCCTGCCTCGGGATGCTCCTCGGGGCCCATCCCTGGGAGAGCAGGGGAGTCTGGAGGACGCCGCTCATGCAGAGCTCTCCCAACGCACTACGAGCTGCCACCATGATCCTGCAGTGCAGGCTGCCTGCGTTCCTGGGGAGCGGGACAGCCTTCCCGGGAGAGAAGCACTCGGCAGCAAAGCCCTGACAGGCTTTGGGAGGCTGCAACCTCCATCAGCATCAACTTTCCCTAAAAGCCTCCAAGTACCTCTTGGGGAGGGCTGGCTCTACCGTGGGACAGGTGGAGGGACCTCCAAGCTCTCAGCAGATGAGGGCCAAGTCCTCACCTGATGAAGAGTGTGCAGAGGATGAAGATTACCAGCCCCACGATGCTCGGGGCGTCCCACCAGGTTGTCAGCTGCCCCACAGCCATCGAAGCACTGGTGCTGTTCCTCACCAGCAGCGTGGGGTTACAGGCTTGGTCTGCGGAGATAAACACCCCGTTCAAAGCCTTTTTCCAGCCCCGCTGCTCTGCAGAGACCTGGGGGAGGCAACCTACCCTCCTCGAGACACAGGCAGCAAGCCTGAGGTCATGTCTCACTTACTTGGTACGTTGGCCAGGGCGGACCAGGTGATGAACATGGTGTACAGGGTGATGAGGGAGGCCTGCAGCAAGCCGGAGTGGGGCTGAGCATCCTGCAAACACAACAAGGGGCTCAGCCCTGCCCGGTGCCAGCCGCACAGTCCGGGCCATGGAGAAGGAAAAGCCACCCTGTTTCCTCCCATGCACGCGCAGGGCTGCTGCAACACACGTCACGAGTGGCAGCACTCAGGTCACACCGTGATCTCCCGGTGCCTTTGATTCCACTGCAAGGAGGTCTGACTTGCTTCCCAGCCAGACAAGTTTTTTAGCCCATCAGTCACAGCAGGGCTTTATCTCCCCCACTTCTGTCTGTGCAAGGGGGCAGGGGGACCCTGGACACCTCTGGGCTGCCAGCTCTTCTCTGAACGCTGCCAAGCGGCAAAGCCCAGCCGTGCCCTGCAGCTGGTGGTCCTGCAACGCAACCGGGGCCTGGGATGAGGCTGCTGGAGGTGAAGTTTGCTGGGACAGGTTGGGTGGGAGAATGGCCCTTCCCTCTGCAAGCAGGAGCACCCGGGTGCCCTGGGTCTGGGTTCCCTCAGGTCCCCCAGACAGCTGCCTGAGCAAGGAGGTGGTGGCCGCCTCCTGAGACATAGGGATTAGGGCAGCTGATTCCTGGCCCGGACCTTACGGTGCCGAAGCTCTGGGCACTGGTCCCTCACTGCCTGTGGCACAGAGGGGGTGGTAGGGACAATGGCTGCCCAGGATCCATCCGTCCTCACCTGGATCTTGGGCAGGATGGACACAACGGAGATGACGATGCAGAAGATGAGGTTGAGGCTGATCAGAGCCTTGTTCTCTGTGCAGCCATCAGGCTTGGTGTAGTAGACATAGAGCAACACCACGGCCGCGATGGAGGTGGCGTAGAAGATGAGGGTGACGACGCAGAGAGCTGGAGATACAGGGAAAAAAAGGTAGAGAAGACAGAGCAGAGCCCTCCACCCCTCATAGCTCAGCCCCTCAGCCCTGGATCTCCCTGCATAGTGTCCTCTGCCCTAGGACGGGCTTCCCGCAGGCCGCCCAGCAGGAAAGGCCCGCTCCCACTAACCCCCTCCCCTGCCAACAAAGCCCACACAGACCTGCTTCCCAGCCCTTGGCGTTGCTCTCTTCTGCGTTGCGGAGCCACACCTGGCTCCAGGAGTGGGCAAAGTCGATGAGGAGGATGAGTTGGATGAGGATGAAGAGGAAGGAGCCAACCACACCGAAGTAGAACCAGACTTGGGGTGGGAGGGGGGGGGGGGAGGGA